TTATTTTCAACTTATAACTGGAAGACAGATACTACTCTGATGGTTTACTAAATATATCAATTATAATTCTATCCAAATCAATCAATATAGTTTCATGCAATGACAAGAGCAAGCAACGCTTCTTTTTTGGTGAATATAGGACGAATTAAAATATCGCAAAGTTACATGATAACTTCGTACTTCGCAGAGTTGATTACGGGTGTGTTCGTTAGGTTGTAAACGAGATTTCCTCTATAAGTGTAGTACCAGTAGATTTCAATGAAAGATAATTGAATAATTATTTAATAAGGACAAATATGAGACATCCCATTCAGGTATTATTGTCACTTACATCTGTACGTTAATTAACATAGAATTGTAATTGTACTCTTCTGTGGTTTAAATCACGTTCAAGTCTCGTTTTGTTCTGATGTAACGGTTTTTGTAAAATTTAACAAATTATGATAGCAAACACGCTTCTGAAAAATATGTCAAAAAACTAGATGCCTGTTGTTTATAGAACTTTTGTTACAAGAATTTAAAAAAAATGACCAATTTGGCGACCATTTTGAAAATGTGTATTAATGTGTATTTCTTGCGCTTCACAAAAAGCCAAAATTTCACCTTTTTGGACACTAGATTGCTCACTTAAACTGTCATTGTGTCGTCATTTTTAATTGTAACAGGTTTATTTTTGCTGTACAACTTTATAATGTTCAATATGGTAAAAATAAGATGCAACAAAGTGGAAAATTATACAATTTTGGTATTTATTTTTTTTTTACATATTTAGTGTAACTGAAGCACTTTTGATTTTTGAACCCGAAAAAGGTGAAAATGAACACAAATAATAATGGGACAAAAAAGAAGAACACGGACCCCCCATTTTTGTAGCTGTTTTAGAAAGAGAAACACATTTTATTTTGATTCGTTAAATATTAAAAAAAGTTTAATAGCAGAACTTTTTATATCACGCGTTTAATCTGCAAAATATGGTGAATAAATGAGTATTTTTGCATTAAAAATAAGGGATAGGGGTAACTGAAATCGCCTTTCTGAGTTAAAAGAATAAGATTAAGAAATTTTACTTACACAATTTAAAATAAAATATTATTTTTATCAATTCTACAAACATTCATACATATCTGATAACACACTTGGAAGAAGTTGTATGAATTTATTTTCGCAAATGGTCAAGACCAAAAAATCGCCTAAAATCACATATTGTGTAAAATTGGTATCTTTGACCGATCATAGCACAAAAACGAACACACGGACATTTATTTGTTTTTGCATTTTCAGCTTTTCCATTAACTCCTTTTTCCAAAAAATCCATATAAGAAAAATAGTTTAATACAGAAATGTTTTGACTTCTCAGAGGTGTACATCCTTAATGTTCTGCAACACTGGCTAAAATACAAGACTAATTCACAACTATCAACTATCTTATGTAGAACTATACGTTTCTCGCTTAACCCTTTGCAAAGTGGTGAAAGGGTTAAAGCAGTGTTCTTCCGTTGCTTTAATTGGATGGAATAGTTCGGAGGAAAAGCTTCCGTCGAAGTGTTGTTGTGATGCTTGCTATTTGAGCGCAAGGTATTCCGTCAATGCTTCCAGTTTTGTCTCCAAGAACAAGGTTTGTTCTTGCAAGGATCTCCATGAGGTCGAAACTACAAACAAATGAGTATAAGAATAAATGAAAATAAATAAATGAAAATAACATAAATAAAAAACAATGTATAAAAATTATAAATAAACAAATCAAATATAATAAAAAGAATAATGTTTTTTTAAATTTCGGACCAAGCATAAAAATGGATAAAAACTTTTCTAACTCCGCAATTAGTTAGGTAGGTAACATATCCCCCTTCTTCAAATTAAAAAGAGGATGCCGTCAGGGTGATCCGATCGCCTCATATATATTTATCTTATGTGCAGAAATGTTAGCCCTTAAAATCAGAAATAACACAAGTATTAAGGAAATATCATAAGATAAGGAACCCATTATTTTATCACAGTATGCAAATTATATCTCAATACTTCTAAATGGTACAGAAAGGTCGTTGACAGAAACAATGAACGAACTAACATTATTCGCAAACCTATCTGGATTAAAAATAAATACGTCAAAAACACTAGTAATATGGATAGGCAATAAAAAATATAGTAAGGAAACTTTTTTACCTCAATGGAAACTACAATGGGGACATACCAAATACACTATGCTAGGGACAGATTTCGATGTTGATTTATACAAAATTACCAAGTTAAACTATGATAAAAAGTTAGTCAAATTAAAAAACCTGCTTAAAATATGGAATAGAAGACTACTAAGTCCAATTGGAAGACTGACAGTAATCAAAACTTTAATAATATCTCAACTTAATCATCTATTTATTTCAATCCCAAATCCTGACGAAAACTTTATTAAAAGTTTTAACACAGAACTTTACAACTTTTTGTGGAATGGTAAAGTTGACAAAATAAAAAGGGATGTTGTAATTAAAGAATATATAAACGGTGGACTAAATATGATTCATACCGACTCCTTTATCAACTCACTTAAATGTACATGGATTCGGCGGCTTCACAATGGAAGTGGCAAATGGACAAATATATTATATACTAAATTAGATAAGGATAAGTTACCTAATTGTGGGACTGAATATATTGAACAGAGTATTAAGAACACTCATAACTTGTTTTGGAAAGATACTTTAAAAGCGTGGCTAAAGATAATACAGGCAAATAACACAAACAGTTATGAAGTCCGATATGGTTTAGTAATGAAACAAAAATAGCACGCAAAACTATCTTTTACAAAGAATGGTTTCTAAAAGGAATCAGAATTATCAATGATGTGATTGGACATAACGGAAAATGTCTTCCAGGATTGTGCAAACGAACCAGATGCTGAAGTTGACAATTTAATAAACTTGGTCATTAGATATTAAATCTATAAAAACAAAACAGTAAATATGAGTCAGAAAGGTTTCTAGGATATTGGAGAAAATGGTCCCCACTGATGGAGACACCCTGACAATATGTCATATTATATGCACAATAACAGTGAATTTTTGTATTCATAGTTGTGCTTTGTACAAACTCAAATATCTACAGAGATCATTTCATTGATATAAGTGGTATACAATGAACTACTTAACAGTTTTCCTTCTTAATAACACAATCGGAGAATAGACAACTTTTGCACATAATTTATACTTAATTATGTAAGTGTTGTCTCATGTTTTCAAATGTATGTTTGTATGCAAATTTGTGTTTATATTTATGTTATATGTTTTGTGTCTATGAATGTATATATATATATGTGTGTGTATGTTTGTATATACATGTATGTTATTGTATGTACGTGTTGTGTGTAACAATGTACGTAAGTGTTCATCCTTTATGTTAGGTTCAAATGTTTTAGTATCACCATCAATTTATGAAATATGATGAAAGAAAGAAAGTGAAAGAAAGACAAATGTTGAATGAATACACTGTAAAGGGGGATGATACCAGGGCTCCTCAACCCTGGCATCCTCCGTAAACACTGAGGAAGTAAAATATTTGAACCTAAAAAAAATAAAAAATAAAAACAACAATAATAAATACTCTTGAGTTAAAAATTAATTTGAGAGTATTAGACAGGTATTTGTTATCATAATAGTATGAAATGTATTATTATAGTAATATTTCACACCATGTGAACCACAGACTCTTGGCATACTTATACGAGAGAATCTGTACAGAATATAAACGGTGAAATCAAAAATCTAAGAAGCACGAAAAGAATCATAAAGATAATAAATACTACATCCTCAGTCACAGTTACCGAATGTGATTCGCTACGAAGATACAGGACATGTGACATCACTTGTACATTCATAAAAATATATAACTTGTTTAAGAAGTGTTTAATGGGTTTTTGGTATCTCAAAACATTTCAGACTGATTTTTCTTCTTGAAACATGACTGAATAAGATACGAAGACAACGAAATCATATTTTTTCCAAAACCTTATCTAAAAAGCCTGAAAGTCTCTCAGGGCCATGCGTTTATATGACTTTATTTCAGATCGGATAAAGTAGGCCGTTTGTCTCGACGGGAATGAAAAATAACAAGTAAAATTGTATATGGTACTTTCGAATTACCCGAACTAACATCTCAGGTAGCATGACTGATTAAAGTTGCCCGACCAAAGTGTAAGCTCCAGTTCGAGCTAAATAATCAAAAGGTATATGTTTTCATATTTATGTTTTTAAGAAGCTAACAATAAAACTATATTTTTTCCAATAATAAACAGTTTACAAACATAATCAGGGATTGTGTTCATGGAAGTATGTATGTAAACGAGAACAAATAAACTTTGCATTGTTTAAATTACTATATAGCTTCATATCATGTTTATAAAAAAAAACCTCTTTCACCATCTGATTAAATAATGTATAAAGTAATATTGGAGTTGTTCAAAAAATGTCATTTGCAATGTTATTGCTACCTGTTTCCATCTCTCTCAAGCGTTTCAATGAAAGTGCTGATAAACCAGGATCCTTTGTTCATGTCTCTATAAGAAACATATCCTGGAGGTGTGGAATTGCATATAAGGAAATCTGCCTCGTCCGGGTGTTGCTTTTCCAATGGTTGAGTAGTTGGTGGTGGTGGTGGCGACGTTTTAACAGTGACGGTGTCTTTCTCCAAGTGATTGTATCCTGGAATAGCCGAACTTACGTATATTTGTCTGACAAATACATTTTATAGCAGTTAGTACTTAAAACAGGTAAACTCATTTGGCAGAATATACCAACACTCGTTAAAAATATCTGTATTCTGTCATACTCTTGAAATAAACAGAAACCAATGATATATTAGATAACAGGAGAAATCTATGGAAAGGTTGCATTTTGTCAGGTTTATCACGCCAGAAAAGCGCATAAAACAACTAGTTAAACAATACAATTTAAGTAATTTAAGTTTAATATACGACAAAGATCTTATACAAACGTACTTCCTTGACATGCAGGTCCTTGGCAAGCCTGTATGAAGAACATCTTCGGTTTTCCAGCAAGTGTCACACATTTGCTGGCATGAAAGTACTTGCGAAATAATGCTAACTCAAACGCTGACCCATTTGCATCTAAAAGTTTTGCCATTCTGCCCATGCGTTAGAATGAATATTGCAATGCAATCGACATTATCATGATCAGTTTCCTCTCCAAGGTTACGGAGTCTGCCATTTATCTCATTGAATGAAAAATCATCAAAGCGTTCCACGTCGAAATGCAAGTGATTAAACACCTTCACGAGGCCATCTATAAATAGGAAGGGGAAGTCGAACCTTAAATACTTGAAATGCAAGGTCTTACTTTAAACAGCCCAAATTGAAATCCTATCCATATATATCTTTTGAAAAACCATCATACGGTTCAATTAAAAAACAAGCACATATAATGGTGCTATACTATACTTTGTCACGTATGTTTCAAGAGAGTCCCTGGATATGATTTATTCTAAGGTGAGAAAATGGAATTAAAATAGATTCACACAAAGAATGGCATTGCCGACAAAACAGCACTGGCTGGGAAGAAAACGACAGACGTTTACATATCATAATTATACAAACTACTGAATCAAGATAAACAAATTACGACATAAAATAATAATGCGGTATAAACAATGCACTCTATAGCTCATTAATTGGAGCGTTACCTGGACACATTGTTTACAGAAGTTCAACATAGGAACTATGCATGTCAATATTGCAGCGAGATGACGAATAATTAAAATATTGATCTATTTAAAGTTTGCAGGGAAATAATTCAGATGCAAAGTTTTTGAAGAGAACCACTCAACACAGTTGTTGGTTTAATGTCTACTACTAAATCTGGCATAAAGCAATATATTGTAAATATAAACAAATACATTTCATGACTTTCATAAAAAAGAAATCCTGAGATTTCTCCTATAACTATGAAATCTTTATCTGCGTCAATTGAAGAACCTGTTCGGTCTTTTATGGGCTCATCTGTGGCATGATTTTGGGATTTGCGGAAGTTCTCAATGTTAAAAATCACAGCCTTTCCTGAAAATATAGCAATAATATAGCAACGCAATAATAAAACTCACCGATCCAAGCGTTAGGATAATTGAAAGAATGTATAGAAATATTAAATTGTAAAATAATTGTTTCCACAGATATGCATCTAGACATATTTTATAGCAGCCGCTTTAGTTTGATAATGATAGATATTGATTCAGATATGTAGAAACCTAGTTAAGTAGATAGGTAAGAGTACGATAGCCACATTGACTTGCGCATTTTTGACATTCTAATGACCTTAGTTTTCAACTGAATATATTTTGACAATTATGCTGACAGTGCTATTTTACTGTATTGACAACCATATTGCGACCTCAAATCCCATCACACGGGCGTCAAATTTCTAACTCATTCCCTATCTTAATTTGGAACATATCACACTTATGTACGTCTATAGAGTAATATCATACAATTTGCATTTATAGCTAGTGAAATAAAATTGCTCTCTCTCTCTCTTGCTCACAAAGTCAAAAATTTTCATTTTTCAATATTAAAACGACTCGATAGATCATTGCTTCTCGAATCCAAAAATGGATGCTTTCATTATCATCTTATTATCAATTTCGACGTAGTTAAACAAATAACTGAAAGAAAAATTATTTGCATGTTTCTAGTACGATTCAATTCCTTTTTTAAATTTGTAAGAAAATAACAACAGCGATTTTATTATAGAGATAATAGTTACATATGCATACCTCTTGGTGTTCGTGTCATTTTGTATTCTCCAAGTCTGACATTTTCTACTGGTCGAGAAACCTTATAGTGTTCAGGTGTCGTGTCAGGTACTGAAAGAAGAAAGGAGATATAGGCAAACAAAGCTTGTTTAATAAATATTCGCAATATGAATCTAAATTAAAACAAACGGAGAGGGGATGAGGCAGCAACAACAGCTACAGCAACAACAGCAGCAACAGCAGCAGCAGCGGTTGTGGCTATGGTGAATTCTTCGTTTTATAATATCTCGTGTCAAGAAGCATAGTTTCTATTTTTATTGATGTGAAGGTGTAGTTACCTTTCATTGAGGAACGGTTGGGCCAGGAACTGAATTTGTGTTTTCTATCGATAAACCCCATCATGTTTATATGGTCAAATGCTGAAATAAAATTGCAGATTTCTTCAACAAACATTGACTTTTCTTTCTCTTTATACTTTTCGTTTATTTTTACATTCAGAAATACACACAAACGAAATTGCCAGTTAGGTAATTTGCATTGCAGATACAAAATGTATCGACACCAACGATAATGTGACCCCCTTTTCATATTTCCAATATTGCCCTGATTATGAATTATGGATGTGTGTGAAATCTTATATGTGACGGTATTATTATATATTGTATACACTATTTTGTCGATACAATGCTATTCAATATATTCAACACATTAATCTAGTGGTATCCTCCGTCTTAAAACCGAATCATCAAAGCATCATTATCATACAAAGACAATTAGTACCTGTATCAGATCTCGCTCTGTCAGCATAGGAATGTTCCGGTACTACATCTTCTGCTATGTTTTTTAAAGGAACCATGGCATAAGTATGACATAAATGAGAGTACATCAATATTGGTGTAATCTAATAATTTCACAAAGTAATCTTCGAGTAGCGGTATTAGCTACACTCGAAATATCATATTGAAATCGATTATTATATTAATTGGACAATTGTCATAGATATAAGTTTTTTCCGATCGATTCAAAGTGCAATTATATTTATTTTATGATGTAAAAGTAAGTATAGTTTTTTTTCACAGCTTGAAACAATAGTTCAATTAATTCGTAAAAACCTTCATCCAGATCCGTCCTGCTACCTCTCTCTTCTTCAGTATCCGATCCATTCTGTCCTTTTTCTAAAGAAAACAGTATTTTCAAAACTAATTGTATGAATAACGGTTGCTTGTAATGTGTGCATCTTTTCTCTCTTCAACATATAATAACAACATCGAATATTATTTATTTCCAGAAAATGTAATACAATAACAATAAAAATCATGAATAGACGATTCCTATATATATCATTTGAGTGTTTATAACCAGTATTGTGGTACGTTACTTTTCCCTTTGTCATGGGGTCTATATTATTTATCTGGAAAACAAGTTGCGTTTTATTTACNATTACGATTTATTTTCGTCAAACCCTCGAAGCTATACATTCATTTCATTGCAATGTATTTCTATTGGCAAACTATCCGTTTATCTCATTTTTTTAAATGATACAATCACTACTACTGGTTAGGGCATAGTCAAATCGTATTAATGATTTAATACAATTTAGCCAGTAAGATCAATAATTAAATTTCTAGACACGTCTGCTTATTATTCAAAAGAAGCTGTGTATATATACCTGGGGGCTGTTCTTGACTCTCCCTTTTCTCTTTGCAGTTCTTGGAATCTTCAGTTTCCGCCTTTTGAGTTACATTTTCTGGAAGTAGAGCAGCGGGATTAAATCCTGTCGATGGATGGGGATATGATGAATACGATTGACAAAATCACGCTCAAAATGAAACGAAAAACCAACAACTCTGAACCCCATTTTTCAATATGACCCCTTCACACACACACACACACATTCACACACTTCTCCAACACTAATCAGTCAGGCGAGATTAAGGTCATGGTAAGCGTTCCCTAGCTGTGTGCTACATGTGACCGGCTATCCACCAAATAGGACGACACTCGAATTTCCTTTGTCTGCATGTCTTGCCGGCAGAAAACATTTGTTAGTGTCTCAACAGGATGGTACAACAAAGAACATCTTACCATTTAAATCAAGGCAAATGTACTTAAAACTAAATACATTGATATGGGTTTGATTAAGATCTTAACATTATAAATTGTATAAGCTGTGCTTTCCTACACGTTCGTCCTGAAGCTATTACGTATATATACCTGGAGATTGTTCTGGAATCTTTTTTTCCTCCTCACTTTTCGGAGAATGTTCTACTTCTGCCACTTTTTGTTCTTTTTCTGAGGAGTAAGTTGTATAACAATGTAATTGTCTCGTTGCGACTTCTGACAAATATAGAGGGGTAAGCTAAGATATACTTTCCCTTGTTAACGTTTTAACTTTTTCCGATCGATTCAAAGTGCAATTATATTTATTTTATGATGTAAAGTATAGATTTTTTTCACAACTTGAAGCAATAGTTCAATTAATTCTTAAAAACCTTTATCCGGATCCCTCATGCTACCTCTCTCCTCTTCAGTATCCGATCCATTCTGTCCTTTTTCTAAAGGAAACAGTATTTTCAAAACTAATTGTATGAATAACGATTGCTTGTTATGCGTGTATCCTTTCTCTCTTCGACATATATTAACAACATCGAATATTATTTATTTTCAGAAAATGTAATACAATAACAATGAAAATCATGAATAGACGATTCCTATATATATCATTTGAGTGTTTATAACCAGTATTGTGGTACGTTACTTTTCCCTTTGTCATGGGGTCTATATTATTTATCTGGAAAACAAGTTGCGTTTTATTTACCTTTTACATACTTTCGATTTCTTATTCTCTTGAGAATTTTTGCCTTTGTCTCATAGCTGTTTATTCGTCTAATTACGACTTATTTTCGTCAAACCCTCGAAGCTATACATTCATTTCATTGCAATGTATTTCTATTGGCAAACTATCCGTTTGTCTCATATTTTTTAAATGATACAATCACTACTACTGGTTAGGGCATAGTCAAATCGTATTAATAATCTAATACCATTTAGCCAGTAAGATCAATAATTAAATTTCTAGACACGTCTGCATATTATTCAAAGGAAGCTGTGTATATGTACCTGGGGGCTGTTCTTGACTTTCCCTTTTTTCTTTGCAGTTCTTGGAATCTTCAGTTTCCGCCTTTTGAGTTACATTTTCTGGAAGTAGAGCAGCGGGATTAAATCCTGTCGATGGATGGGGATATGATGAATACGATTGACAAAATCACGCTCAAAATGAAACGAAAAACCAACAACTCCCAACCCCATTTTTCAATATGACCCCTTCACATGCACACACACAAACACACACACCTCCAACACTAATCAGTCAGGCGAGACTATGGTCATGGTAAGCGTTCCCTGTGTACTACATGTGACCGGCTATCTACCGTCAAATAGACGATAGCATGTAGATGACTAAAATTCAATGAGGACGACCCTCAAATGTCTTTTGTATGCATGTCTTGCCGGCAGAAAACAATTGTTAGTGTCTCATCAGGATGTTACAACAAAGAACATCTTACCGTTTAAAACAAGGCAAATGTACTTAAAACTAAATACATTGATATGGGTTTGATTAAGATCTTAACATTATAAATTGTATAAGCTGTGCTTTCCTACACGTTCGTCCTGAAGCTATTACGTATATATACCTGGAGATTGTTCTGGAATCTTTTTTTCCTCCTCACTTTTCGGAGAATGTTCTACTTCTGCCACTTTTTGTTCTTTTTCTGAGGAGTAAGTTGTATAACGATGTTATTGTCTCGTTGCAACTTCTGACAAATATAGAGGGGTAAGCTAAGATATACTTTCCCTTGTTAACGTTTTAACTTTTTCCGATCGATTCAAAGTGCAATTATATTTATTTTATGATGTAAGGTATAGGTATTTTTTCACAGCTTGAATCAATAGTCCAATTAATTCGTAAAAACCTTTATCCGGATCAGACCTGCTACCTCTCTCCTCTTCAGTATCCGATCCATTCTGTCCTTTTTCTAAAGGAAACAGTATTTTCAAAACTAATTGTATGAATAACGATTGCTTGTTATGCGTGTATCCTTTCTCTCTTCGACATATATTAACAACATCGAATATTATCTATTTTCAGAAAATGTAATACAATAACAATAAAAATCATGAATAGACGATTCCTATATATATCATTTGAGTGGTTATAACCAGTATTGTGGTACGTTACTTTTCCCTTTGTCATGGGGTCTATATTATTTATCTGGAAAACAAGTTGCGTTTTATTTACATTTTAAATACTTTCGATTTTTTATTCTCTTGAGAATTTCTGCCTTTGTCTCATAGCTGTTTATTCGTCTCATTACGATTTATTTTCGTTAACCCCTCGAAGCTATATATTCATTTCATTGCAATGTATTTCTATTGGCAAACTATCCGTTTGTCTCATTTTTTTAAATGATACAATTACTACTACTGGTTAGGGCATTGTCAAATCGTATTAATGATTNACCAATTGGTATGCTACTACTATAAAACCCACAATTCTTCTGATTTCTGCACCAATCTGCCGGACTACTGGGGGCTGTTCTTGACTTTCCCTTTTCTCTTTGCAGTTCTTGGAAACTTCAGTTTCCGCCTTTTGAGTTACATTTTCTGGAAGTAGAGCAGCTATATTAAACCCCGTCGATGGATGGGGATATGATGATTACGATTGAAAAAAAAATGATAATAATAATAGATAATCACGCTCAAAATGAAACGAAAAACCAACTCTGGACCCCATTTTTCAATATCACTCCTTCCCACACACACACACACACACAAACACACACACCTCCAACACTAATCAGTCAGGCGAGACTATGGCCATGGTAAGCGTGCCCTGTGTACTATATGTGAAAAGCTATCTATCGTCAAATAGACGATAGCATGTAGATGACTAAAATTCAATGAGGACGACCCTCGAATTTCTTTTGTATGCATGTTTTGCCGGCAGAAAACAATGGTTAGTGTCTCATCAGGATGTTACAACAAAGAACATCTTACCGTTTAAAACAAGGTAAATGTACTTAAAACTAAATACATTGATATGGGTTTGATTAAGATCTTAACATTATAAATTGTATAAGCTGTGCTTTCCTACACGTTCGTCCTGAAGTTATTACGTATATATACCTGGAGATTATTCTGGAATCTTTTTTTCCTCCTCACTTTTCGGAGAATGTTCTACTTCTGCCACTTTTTGTTCTTTTTCTGAGGAGTAAGTTGTATAACGATGTTATTGTCTCGTTGCGACTTCTGACAAATATAGAGGGGTAAGCTACGATAACCCTTCCCTTGTTAACGTGGACTACTTTAGAAGAGACAGTGCAGGATAATTTTGAGGTATTAACATGTACAGTTATGTGTAAGGTATTTCTAGGCGTAGGTTTATGGAAAGTCATCTCTGAGAGTATATTAAATATCTATATGTGTAAATCATACCTAGGTTCACCATCAAATGATGGGAAAGGAAAAATGAAAACATTCAAATAAAATGTAATTTTGTAGATGTACATTATTTCACTTTGTTATTCGCTGACTTTTTCTATAAAAAGTAAACAAGAAATAGTAAATGCACTGAAGCATCAAAAGTGTAAAAGTTACGAAAAATCGAAAAAGACGGTAAAACTGCAGGTTTGCTTTTGCTTTTTGTTTGTTTTAAATTTGTTCCTTTTTTTAAAGATTTAAATGCATTCGTGTATTCGACTGATTTGTCGTTTGTATGAAACAAGAGAACGATTTACTAAAAAAAAACAGCGTCAGCATTGCTCATTGTTCTATTAAAGGGAGATTAGACAGAACAGTTTTTAAAGAATTGTAGACCACTTTCCCTTTTTTTTGCATTGTTAAAAATAGCTTTCGGTTTTATTTTATTAATGAGTGCAAGACGGAAATCAGTTCTGGATGAATTAACACACAACGACCACACAAGCTTTTTCCAGGACGATACAATATATAGCAGGCAGTACTAATTGATGACGTGATAGATTATAGGAAGAACAAAACATATCATACATATTTTAAACGATTTTGAAAAGGGTTTTAAATCTTTTAAACGTTGGTATTTTTGTCTAGGCGAATTTCATCTTTTTTTAATCAAGACAATTATTTGCCTGCACTTATGAATTAATATTGAATGAAGCTGCCGATGCTGTCAAGAAGGATTGTCCTCCTACTTTGTGCCATAATATTAATAACATGATATAAATGCATATACCAAGGTATACAATTTGACACGACGATACACCTGACATCACAATTCGCTGACGATACAAGAAAGCAAAGTAAAAGCACTTAGTTATGCTATTAAAGAGCTGCAATACTTGTTGAATTTATCAGGTCTTTCACTTAATTTGACAAAATCGCAAGAAGTATAGAAGACATCAGTAGTCAATAACTTTTTATGATTGTGATTGGCCTATCTTAATCTGCCAGAATATATTTTTGGTGTTGATTTTAATAAAACTGTTTAATGCAATTCAAAGAAAATAAGTAAACAAATATAAGAAATCGGATAATAAAATAAGCTGAACATAAAGCCGGTTGGTAAACTTTTAATAACAGTAATAATTCAAGCTCTCATTTTGTAAAAAAAACCACTCATCCATTTATTCATAATGCTACAAATGTATCATCACCTATCTAGACTATAATTTAAGAAATTCCAAACTTATATTAATACCTTTGAAAAAGTTGAATCAAACGGAGAGGTCATTTGAAAATTAAATAAATAAATTAACAAATATATGATAAAGATGTTTAAACAAATTAACAGTCATTAGTTTGAAATGGCTCTCAAAATAACCTGGCTTGTAACAATTATTTTAAAGATCAATATTAATTAGTAGGTATTATTGTTTATGAAAATCAATAGAAAAAAGATGTGTTTTTTTAAATACATTTATTGAATATGATATTGAAAACAAACTCCACAACATCATGAAAATGTTAAAAAAGATTGTTTGAATAAATATATATATCATACATAGGTTTTAGTTCTTAATGATGATGACGGGACGGGAATGTACTTACAATTTAACATATATTAATATCTGGATTAGAGTCAATAATAGATATTTTAAGCTATTTTACTTACATACACTTGCGATGATATATGTATAAGTACCTGGAGGTTGATCTTGGCTTTCATTTCCATCCTCACTGCTCTGGGAATCTTGTGTCTCTGCCAATTCTGGTGCATTTTCTGAAGGGTAAATGACATTACATTGTTCAAAATGTTTCATACTTTGAACGTATAAGATTTTCTAAGCCATGTAATGTCGAATAGCCTTCAGACTGTTAATGAGTGATCAGATGAGCAATGGACTCGCCTTTCACCACAACAAGCGGGGTATGGAGTCAATTGCCAGACCACATGGGTTTGCTCCGGTTTTCTCTCACATCAAGACCGCCTGCGCTTCCAATTGAGCCAATAAGACTGACTCGTTAATATTACTTGCTGCATAATTGTTGCAAAATTGATCAATAAAATCTATTTAATACACGCTTGTAATTTTTTATCAATAGCCATAAAGATTCATTTGTTTCCCACTTCTTTCTTTATAACATCACTAACTCGCATACATTCATATTAACACTATTTACGTTGCAGATAGAAGGATAGAGCCCTAGCTTGACGAGTGACAAGTGACGAGAAAGAAATGAGAGTCAGTTTCCATCCTTTCATAAGATTACTTATTGGAGGGAATTATTTGTAATAAGCCACAATAATACTACCAATAAAGTATCAAATAATAACATTTCGTACGACACGTTACTACACGTAGCTGTGCTATATTGTCCCTTATAATGTACAATTACTTATATATTTCTCCATTACGCGTATTGTCTAAACAGTGTGGCTAATTGGAACTAAATTCAAGACAATAGATAATATATATAATGATTATTGGATTACCTGTGACAGGGAAGCCTCTTGAACCTTCTCTTTCTTCTGCTGCACGTAAGGCAAGCCTTTCTTTAAAATCTGTAAGTAGGTGATGCCCATCAAATTTCAAGAAGTTAATGCATTCACATTCACAAACTTGAAGCACAACTGTTAATATATATGCATATATTTATTTTAAACAAATAACTTCAACAACATTATTGACCGTTTCATCTTTAAACGTTTTTAACGCTTGGAAATCGACGATAAATTTGACATAGGTAAAGTACTTATGATAGAGAAGTAATATTAAGAGAGTTAATGCCATCGATTGGGTAATAAATAATAAAAGTAATGAAACACGAATTATATAGAATTTTACCGGATATTTTCCCTGAATGCTTTTTCACCCAGTGTGTTATCCGGAGATGTTGTAATGGGTCTAAAAGGGCAGTGTCTAAAGTGTGAGGCTCCAGCTTCTTCTCCTTAATGAGTAAACTTAAGAAATCCAGGACAGTGTCTGCATTCCCTAGCGCTCTCTTTGGAATATCCGTTGTGATGCCTTTGAGGTTTTGCAGGTCCTCCCCATCTGTAAGCTCATCAGCTATACACACTAAAATGACCCTAAAACGATGCATTCAACTTTTCAAAATAGATTACTTTAAACACATACAAAAATCTGTTTGAACCTTTTTAATTGAATGAAATATAAAAACAGTGAGCGTGCGTTTATTTGTTTCCAAGGGAAAACATCTCGTATTGACGCAAATTTTATTTATCATATCCATTCAAAGTTGTCCTTATTGAAACCTTCTGTAGAAACAATGGTTCTTATGTTTTTCAATAACTTTGCGGACTCTTTATTTCCAATAGAATGTATGATATTAAAGGACTCACCTAAATTCTTTTAGATATGTCTTTTTCAGGTCATCAAGATTTTTTGTTATTTTTTCACCAAGAGGCCCTCCTTCGTGGCTACAACCTTCGCTATATTTAAAAGCTAGATCTTTTCTGCCAGCTCTTGCCAAACCTTCTATTACTTGCTCGTCACTCCCGTTTGTACCGATTGCAATAAGCAATGCTGAACCTGTGGTGCATTTTTGTAGTTTTCCATCCGGAACCACACCAGTTAAGAGAAATTTTATGATAGAGAATTCATCAGGCATTAGTTCATCTCCTATCGTTTCAAGTAGAGCTCTTCTTTTTTGCGTCACTGCAATCCATCCTAAAACTTGACAATGACAATGACGCTATCGTTATCACATTTTTACTGGAATAATTTAAATGTTTTTTTTATAAATTATTTTTATGTCACGGATGTGACGCCAGTCATGACGTGTCCCACTGAATCCATTGAATTAACTTTACATAATTCACAACAATTATGAAACAATTTAGCTTTTGATTTGTTTTTGAAACCTATATTTAGTGCTCTTGCTTTCCAAAATGAAAACGTACATGAGGTTTCTATGTGGAATGAAACCGGAGTACATGTGAGGCCGGGCAAGTGTTTATGACTTTATACCTGTTCACGTCCGATCGGGGAGTCGAACCCTGATCGTCTTGGCTCGATTGGCCCCCATCTTTAGAATATTGAACTTCTAAAAACAATAACTCTAATAATTTGGATTACTTGGATGACTGATCCTAAGTTCTAATTAAACTAGGGGGAGATAAACTGGTATGAAAAGCAGTTGAGAAATCCATAAAACTTAGGGGCTGGTAGTCATTCTACGACTTGGCGAAAGGAAATTGCACTATATAATTTACTAGGTACCCGACCACCCTAACATATCTAGCAACATTGATCACTGAGCTGTCACATTAAAACCTAATCATGACGACGATCTTGATTATTGTACAGCAAGGTACTCATGTTAGAATAATTTATGAGTAAATAAGAAATATCGTTTCAGAAAACTCCATTAAGTAAGATTGTCTCTGGAGAAGCGAATCAAATGTCGTATGTGACCTTATTATGGAAAAGTATACCACTTGACTATAATATCGAAAAGTTCAAGAATCAACAATTGTTTACATTATAAAGGGTATTAAGGCCTGGACCCGTATTCTTATGCTCAAGCATAGATTCTGTGTTCAAACGAACATTAGTGTAACTCGCTTAAATCATGTGACACATCCGCAATGTCAAATGTAAATATTGAAAACGGTATTCGGCTTTTTATCAATGTATCACCTTTGCGAATATGAAGCGTTTCGAATGTTTTGAAGTTTGTCCTGTGGTTCAATAAATATGGTTGTCAAGAGTATGGACGGGTACAGAACATGTGGAAGATCACATGATAAGCTGATGTTTACAAGACTGTCTCATAATCGAGGATTCAATTTACAGGAAAGATAACTTAAAATAGGAACACCATCACGAAGAAATATGATTTATCAACATCCGTGTCTAGAAAAGGTCAATTTGGTATATATAGGATTACCATTATTTTTAACCAACATGACTTCTTTTCATAGAAGTAGTATTGACAGCGTTGTCAGCTAGGCCATCAGATCAAACATAAGAAATATAGTTTATGTTATTATTATAGAATGCCGAAAAGTCTGTGTATTAGTCCATTATTTACGTAACTTGATGTTTGCACTCTGAGCTTAATCTAATCCAACCTCAATAAGGTATTCAGTTTATAATTAGTCGATAGGTAGAGATAAACAATGAACTAAAATGAAAGCAGCATTGATATCATTCAGCTGGTAATCAAAGCTACGACCGAGAGTTTTTTGTTTGATTATAGCTTGAAAAAGACATCAGTACTCACGTTTGTCCTGGTTAATACACTAGAAAAACTGGGAAGTATGGTTAAATATGTTGTTCTCCGAAAACAAACTGAATCACCTCATGCAATTAGGACCAATCACAACAAAGTTTGGATTCCCCAACATTTTAAGGTACGTTATATATACAAACCGAAAGTGACAACGTACGTCTTTCAATTTTAAACAGACAATATAATCAGCATATTAAAGTAGCATTAATTGTAAATGAATTTTAAATACAAAATACCTTACAAATGGTATATCTTCCGAAATACTGTGTAGACATTAAGATATATGTTTCTAAAATTAAACCCTGGTTCAATTAAAGGCACAGCAATCCGAAATTACATGAAAGATGGAATTTGTAAACAAATAATCTTATAATTACACGAGGTTAAATCTTCATATTTTAAATCTGCATCATATGTCACTTTTATGTACACCAAGATCGAGGATCGGAAGTCGGACAGATGACAGTAGAAGGATGAAGTAAGTACACGAGGACAATTTAAATCGCATATTAAATTGATGCAAGGTGAGAAGGAATGTCATCCGTACTAGGCCAGTTGAAAAATGTCATCAAAACACCCCCGATATTAAAATATTTAACAAATGATAACTTGTTCATACTTCCAAACCTTTTTCACGGAAAACTTCCTATGGGAAGCCTTTTTAGAATAACAACACAATACAAATGCATCTTTCATGAGAAAGTATGCTGATAGTTGGATACTTCTTTACAATTACAATACATGTACAATGTAACTGCACGTGTCGAGTCCTGCGGACGTCCGGATTGCGGTCGGTCGGCAACCCTTCCGGTGTCTCTCAGACGACGGACAAGCATTATATGATGAAAACAATCACACTAAACTGCATAGCAACCTGTTGTTGCCTTTGATCTTAAATTAGCAACGCAATAGCCTGACCCTTCTGAACTTCCGTCAGGCGTACCATGACTGCAAGATATTCAAATTGACAGTTAACAACGGAAAGCGATGTACATGCCTCGATGTGTTGACGGATTCGAACTTGTCATCAGTATTCTGCACTTTTTTGCATCTTATATAATTAAACACGTTCACTATGTGGCAGGGTACACTAGGTAACTTTAGACTAAGATACTCGTCTGACCTGTTTTCATACTTTTAGGCCAAGCAGTTCAACAATGTTACACATTTTGTTACCCAGCGTTTCTTTATCATTTCAACATATATAAGGGATATGCATGTTTACCAAGGAAAGCGTGTTTCTTTAAGGAGGTTATTACCTGGTCAGAGGTAAGTTTGTTCCTACTAGTGACACCTGCCGCACAGGTAAGGCAGTTGTGGTTCGGTAACTAAAGGACCATAATCAATAAAGATGTTACTTTTAACACGGTCTATGTATGTGCGGTAAGTCTACTTGTATGTCTTCGTATATATTGTCTTCACTATTTACTAGGTGTAGTTGATTGAAAAAACTTGATCTTCAAAAAAATAAAACATCGTAACATTTCTTTAACAGTTCTGTATACGTAACACTGATAAGGTTTTTTTTAAATACAAAATTTACTGTTTATAATTAGATACTTATATATTTAGATACTGTACATTTATATCAAAACAGTTCTGATGAAAGAAAAGAGGTGTCCAGATTCTTCTATTCATGTATACAAGACTAAAAAATACGAGCAAGGTTTATTTGTTATTTTTTTCATCGTCAACAAATTAACGTCCAGAACAATTAGAATAATAATCTACATTATAGTTTTTGTTTTCAAATTTGCGATTTTGTGTAAACATCCATAATATTGATTCAGTCACAATTCACAATCTTAATCTACATGTATACGGGTAATAAATGCCTCCCTAGTCCTCTCATCCTTTTCGATGTATATATCGCAGTAGTATGAGAGCTTTATAATGTAGCTTACTACTAGCATCTCTAACCTTCGTCGGAATTATATATCTTTAGTGTGTTTTAATAACAATGTTGGAATGACGCATCGGTCTTGAATTATAAATAATAACACCCCCCCCCCCCCAAAAAAAAGAAAAAAAGAGAGAAACAATCTTAAATCATATTTACTTGTATTCATTTATATTATGTTAAACTAAATGAACAAATACGATCATTTCATTCAGACCAACATGAATAACAATGTGAGGTGTACTATAAAAACATCGAAATGTATTATAAATGCACTTTGGTTTGATTTGCTGGACAATATATACAGAAGTAACTACTCGCAGATTATTTCCTTTGATAATACGTATATACACAATGTATGCTATTCGATCTATAAAATATTGTTTTCATCACTCCTTGAATGACGCAAGAGTTTGGAAACCTCAATTCATCACAAATCGATTTGACAATTTAGAGAGCTTAAGACTACTAAATAATAGCACATGCTTTTGATTTCAATCTTTGATTGCATCAATTATGTATTTTCTAACAAATTCTATGCTCAGATGGCTTTCTCTTTGGCTAGTAAACTATATATGTTTGTACAAGAGATTTGGTCTTCGTTGTTTTATACAAAGTTGGCTGAAAATGAAAATAATTCTATGTAGTTCTTTCTGGTTCTCTCCAGAGTAACAGTGCACCCGTAAGAAGTACAAAAGACAAAACAGAGTAAAGGAATAACTGATTCCATGTAAATCTTTATTTCATAAAGAATTCACAAATTCTACTATTTATCTAAAAAGAGATATTATGTTACAAATGAGTGAAACGAAGAGTATTTAAGCAAACATTGTAAATGCATGATTTTAAAAAAAAATCTGAATACATTGTAGTAAAGAAATGCACCATTATTCAACTTCGCAAAATATGTATATATGTCTAAAATGGAATATTTATGCAGGCATGAATAAGAACAACTATATTAACTCCTCAGAAATAGCATCATTATCTCGTTAACTCAAATGTAGAGGAAAAAGTCTAAGTTTATGTAGCAGGGACACCTATGCAACACAGTATAACCTTAACTGTTGAGTGTAACTACAAGCTACATACAATAGCTTTTGTACAATGCAAGAAATTACATAGACTTTTATATCGTAAATCACTCATGTTTGTCCTAAATCATTCTTGCAGGGAATTGTTATAAGATTTGAATTAAAGGAAATGAAGAATAAAACGTCTGGGTTTTTTTCCAGAATGCGTTTTTATTTATTTTAATTTGCACTAGACTTGCCACACACATATATAGCTTTCAAAAAGCAAGTGATTTAATGTTGTCAGTCTTAAACACTTACTAATTGAACATCCCATTTTATCAAAAACGGATCCACACGTAAAAACGATTATTCATTAATTATTGAAAAAAAAACCCCACTGATTTGGCATCTTATTTTTGATCAAGTAAATAGCAATGATGTGTCTAATAACAAAGACAACAACAACAACAAAACAGAATATATAACAGCTTAAACAACCCATCAATAATATAACACATGTCGAAAATGAGAACAAGGTTACCGCGAGCGGTATATAATACGCCCGTCACACATTGAATGAGCAGTTGTTTGTATGATTGAAATATATGAAGTATTTGTGAGTAATTGATATTAAAAGAGAAATCATTCAACATAACTGGTAGATCAATGAGTGCAATACAACATCATGGAACGCATGCATCGCATTAATGAAACCAAGGGTAATAACTCCAGTAATTA